CCAGCCGGGCCACGTTGCTGGTATCATTGGCTATAACGTTAACCTGTCCAGCCGGGCCACGTTGCTGGTATCATTGGCTATAACGTTAACCTGTCCAGCCGGGCCACATTGCTGGTATCATTGGCTATAACGTTAACCTGTCCAGCCGGGCCACGTTGCTGGTATCATTGGCTATAACGTTAACCTGTCCAGCCGAGCCACATTGCTGGTATCATTGGCTATAATGTTAACCTGTCCAGCCGGGCCACATTGCTGGTATCATTGGCTATAACATTAACCTGTCCAGCCGGTCAATGTTGCTGGTATCATTGGCTATAACGTTAACCTGTCCAGCCGGTCAATGTTGCTGGTATCATTGGCTATAACGTTAACCTGTCCAGCCGAGCCACATTGCTGGTATCATTGGCTATAATGTTAAACTGTTCGGCACTTTGATGTTCTGTGTTATATGCCAGAATACATGTTCAGCTACCAAGTTGATCAGCTCATTTGGATTTCAGGAGATGTCCACTGCATATGGGCAGAAAACATTTTCTGAAGCTTTTCTTTCATCCAAGAAAGGTCCTAGGATCGTAAGCTGACTCCAGAGAATTGTCCCTGTTTTGGTTGCTCAGTTCTCCAAGATTACCACAATTCTCATTGTTGCCACCTATTTGAATGTTTTGTTGAATACAGTGAAAAATTACTTCAATAATAGCATGTAAATAATCATGGTTTTCTTTCACTTGTTTGTATCGTTTAGTTTCTGTTGTTCCATGATCAGACATGTTTCTTTGATACATCCACCTGATCATAGCATTTGAATGAGTCTTTGCTGTAGAATGCTGGTTGAGGATGTTTGGATGAGCCTTTGCTGTAGAATGCTGGTTGAGGATGTTTGGATGAGCCTTTGCTGTAGAATGCTGGTTGAGGATGTTTGGATGAGCCTTTGCTGTAGAATGCTGGTTGAGGATGTTTGAATGAGCCTTTACTGCAGAATGCTGGTTGAGGATGTTTGAATGAGCCTTTACTGTAGAATGCTGGTTGAGGATGTTAGGATGAGTCTTTGCTGTAGAATGCTGGTTGAGGATGTTTGGATGAGCCTTTGCTGTAGAATGCTGGTTGAGGATGTTAGGATGAGCCTTTGCTGTAGAAAAACATCCTCAACCAGCATCCTACAGCAAAGGCTCATCCTAACATCCTCAACCAGCAAGGATGAGCCTTTGCTGTAGAATGCTGGTTGAGGATGTTTGGATGAGCCTTTGCTGTAGAATGCTGGTTGAGGATGTTTGGATGAGCCTTTGCTGTAGGATGCTGGTTGAGGATGTTAGGATGAGCCTTTGCTGTAGGATGCTGGTTGAGGATGTTAGGATGCTGCCAGTCTTTGAAGGTGAATTCTTCTCTTTATCACCTCAGAATTTTTCACAAGGAAACCACAACACTTCATCTTCATCAATGGAGTAGGAAATCCAAGATCACAAGGAAAGCACAACACTTCATCTTCATCAGTGGAGTAGGAAAGCCAAGGTCACAAGGAAAGCACAACACTTCATCTTCATCAGTGGAGTAGGAAATCCAAGGTCACAAGGAAAGCACAACACTTCATCTTCATCAGTGGAGTAGGAAATCCAAGGTCACAAGGAAAGCATAACACTTCATCTTCATCAGTGGAGTAGGAAATCCAAGGTCACAAGGAAAGCACAACACTCCATCTTCATCAGTGGAGTAGGAAATCCAAGGTCACAAGGAAAGCACAACACTTCATCTTCATCAATGGAGTAGGAAATCCAAGGATGTCCCTTATACCATTCAGGGTTGAAGCGATGATTTTGTGTACCAAATTGTGAAAGAGGAAATAATGGAATAATAGACTACTGAGGAGAGTCAAATTTAGTCACTGCAGGAGTTGGCTCTAAAGATTGAACCTAGTCGTATAACTTAATGTCTTCAACTTGAGTCTCAGATTCAACTAACTGTAATTTAGTTTCGGGCGGAAGCTGTTTCTTAGTATTTTTGGGTGCTGGATCTGTCTCCTCACTGGTTGATGCTTGAGTTTGAGTGTCGGCAGCATATTTTTCTTCTTGACCATTGTAAATTTCTCCCTCTTCTAGCTGTTTCTTTTTACAAAAATTCAAAATGTCTCATTGACCATGAGGAGCAACATGTTTGGTTGCCACTTTATGATTTGTCTTTAAAAGATCGGAGTGGAAGCTTTGACGATGGACTGCTTTATTATGTTTTTGAAAGGTCTTACGGACCAGACATATAATAATCTCACGGTAATCCCATTTTCTGTTTGACATGTTCTAACAAATGAAATTAAATACTTGAATAATAAAAGAAGAAGAACCAGAATGAAACGTTGTAAATCAAACATGAACAGTGAAGCATGAAATGTAAAAAAAAAAGAAATACAATTATGATTTTCACAATTAACTGCCCAGATTAGCCATGTTAGCCATATACGGACGTACAGGCATGTGTATTGTTGTTTTCAATTAGTAATCTCACTGTGCACATGAACTACACATTTCAAAATCTTTGTAATTTTAGGTTTTGAAATATATTAACTTTCTAAGAAATGTTTCATAAATTTCAACAATAATAAAAAAGGCATTTATAAATTTTAGTAAGCACAGAATAATCTTGCATGACTAACTAAAAAAGGTAGTAAATCCTTTCACAGATAGCTGTGATTGGGAAAAAAACTTGTAATCAGTTATACTGGACATAACATGACTTAATTTGTTGACCAGCAAGTTAGTATAAATATCTTTTGTGTTGCAGAGTAGTGACGTTGTGTATGTCACCTGTAGATGACAGCTTCTTGTCTGGGTCACTTGATAAGTCAGTCAGATTGTGGGACTTACGTTCACCAGGCTGCCAGGTAAGAACTGATATAATGATGGTTAATAAGGACACATGTTTACAGCTAGATTTAAACAATCAACTGTTCTTACAGAAGTTATTCCTAGAGATTAGCTTCATCTTGTTATACCTAGAGATTAGCTTCATCTTGTTATTCCTATACTTTATAATGTACATAATTTTTGAATATGCTATCTAACATTGTTTTATAGGTATACTTATAATAAGAGATTTTGTGCAGCTGAAAATTAAATCCGTTTGTAATTTTCTCAATTTGAAAAAAAAAGCAAATCTAAATTAGAAATTTTGAAAACTATTTATGTGATTTGATTTTGACTCCAAACCTGGTCCAGTAGTATAGGCTCAAAACAAAGACACAAAAGTGAAATTCATTCTTTATTTCTTGTCTTTACTTGAATACTTTAATTTTATTTCAAGTTACTTTTAATTGATTATAGATGGTACTGATAATACATATTGAATTGGATTTTGTTACTACATGCACAACTTTTTTTTTATATAATTAGTTCTTCAAAGCAACAAACCAACAGCACTACTTAAACACCTAGTTCTTAACTCACATCTTCCCTGAAACCCTAAATCATACCTTTTCAAAAGATCTAAGATCATACAGCTTAACTAACTGTGAGTTGACACCAACAGCAAATATGAGTCCTTCTGGATCAAAGTTTGCCACAGGTCTTCCTGTCAAATGCATTACTCCCTGAGAAGAACAACAATCAATGGTGTTTAGTAAACTTTGTTCATCATTATTCCCTGAGAAGAACAACATTCAATGGTGTTTAGTAAACTTTGGTCATAATTACTTCCTGAGAAGAACAACAATCAATGGTGTTTATTAAACTTTGGTCATCATTACTCCATGAGAAGAACAACAACCAATGGTGTTTATTAAACTTTGTTCATCATTACTCCCTGAGAAGAACAACCACCAATGGTGTTTAGTAAACTTTGTTCATCGTTACTCCCTGAGAAGAACAACCACCAATGGTGTTTAGTAAACTTTGTTCATCATTACTCCCTGAGAAGAACAACAAGCAATGGTGTTTAGTAAACTTTGTTCATCATTACTCCCTGAGAAGAACAACAATCAATGGTGGTTAGTACACTTTGTTCATCATTACTCCCTGAGAAGAACAACAATCAATGATGTTTATTAAACTTTGGTCATCATTACTCCCTGAGAAGAACAACAATCAATGGTGGTTAGTAAACTTTGATTGTTTTTTAATTATTTTAGATAAAAGAAAACATTTTACAAATACTTGTTGGTAAAATTATTTTATGTACATATAAAACACATATAAAGAATCAACAACAAACGTTAAGCCAAGTACATGTATATACAATATAAAAGGTATTACATATGAAAAGCGTGTTTAACCTACAATTGTATAATTACTTTAAAAAGCCATACAAAAAGTAGTTTTCAAATTGAATTTTGAAAAAATATATTATTTTTAACTAAAAATTACATATAATTTTTTAAACATTTATGTGCAGTTCATGAATTGCTCATAATTCTATTGACCATTTTATGATTCAAAGATAAAATTACTTTGACACAGCCAGTTTATATGTGTCCTTGTTATCTGTGAACAACCTCTCCTTCTACTACTACATTAGATTAACTTCATCTTCCTAGGTATAACAAGATGAAGCTAAACTGTAGGTATAACAAGATGAAGTTAATCTCTAGGTATAACAAGATGAAGCTAATCTCTAGGTATAACAAGATGAAGCTAATCTCTAGGTATAACAAGATGAAGTTAATCTCTAGGTATAACAAGATGAAGTTAATCTCTAGGTATAACAAGATGAAGTTAATCTCTAGGTATAACAA